TCTATACTCTCCGCAGGGTTCTGGAGGGTTCATGGGAGTTTGCCCAACCAGTCTACATGTGTTTTGTGGACTTGGAGAAGGCATTCGACCGTGTCCCTCGGGGATTCTTGTGGGGGGTGCTCCGGGAGTATGGGGTGCCGGGCTTCCTTTTAAGGGCTGTTCGGTCCCTATATGACCGGTGCCAGAGTCTGGTCTGCATGGGCGGCAATAAGTCGGATTTGTTTCCGGTGAGGGTTGGACTCCGTCAGGGCTGCCCTTTGTCACCGATTCTGCTCATAGTTTTTATGGACAGAATTTCTAGGCGCAGCCAGGGCGTTGAGGGTGTCCGGTTTGGTGACCTCAGGATTAGGTCTCTGTGAAGCGGCTGGGATGAGAATCAGCACCTCCAAATCCGAGACCATGGTCCTCAGCCGGAAAAGGGTAGAATGCTCTCTCCGGGTCGGGGATGGGGTCCTTCCCCAAGTGGAGGAGTTTAAGTATCTCTGGGTCTTGTTCACGAGTGGGGGGATGATGGAGCGGGAGACCGACAGTGATGCGGGCGCTGCATCGGTCTGTCATGGTAAAGGAGGAGCTGAGCCAAAAGGCGAAGCTCTCGATTTACCAGTCGATCTACGTTCCTACCCTCACGTATGGTCACGAGCTGTGGGTAATGACCGAAAGAATGAGATCGCAAGTGCAAGCGGCCAAAATGAGTTTCCTCCGCAGGGTGGCTGGGCTCTCCCTTAGAGATAGGGTAAGGAGCTTGGTCATTCGGGAGGGACTCAGAGTAGAGCTGCTGCTCCTCCGCATTGAGAGGAGTCAGATGAGGTGGCTCGGGCATCTGCTTAGGATGCCTCTTGGACGCCTCCCTGGTGAGGTGTTCCGGGCATGTCCCGCTGGGTGGAGGCCCCGGGGAAGACCCAGGACACGCTGGAGGGACTATGTCTCTCGGCTGGCCTGGGAACGCCTCGGGATTCCCCCAGAGGAGCTGGATAAAGTGGCCAGGGAGAGGGAAGTCTGGGATTCCCTGCTGAGACTGCTGCCCCCGCGACCCGACCTCGGATAAGCGGGAGATAATGGATGGATGGATGGATGGATGAATAAAAACCACTGGCTGACAACTGAGGGATGATTATGGAAAGAGAATGGCGGGGCGGGGGGTGTATGGAAGGTGAAGTGGACGGACTGTTTGCTGGGGGAGTTTATGATTGGTTGGTCAGCCTCTCGCTGGCTCACCTGCATGCTCCTCCTCCTGCCGCTCGGACCCACTTTCATCCTCATCTCCTGATGGGCCTGGCTCCATGCTCAGCGGCACAGCGACCCCGACTCCCAGCCGCGCATCCTCGTTCTCCATCTCTGCGATTGGATGGAGAGGGAGATAGGGGTGGATGAGAGCCTGTCTTGGTGATTGGATGCAGAAATGGACTAAAGAACACACAGGGTAATGCTGGAGTTTACCAGAACTTATGCAATCAGGATCTATTTATGGCTAATGAATAACTTAAAAACAGAAAAAACAGAGCAATTAACAAATGCGAAACGTGAACCCACAAGCTGCAAGGACCACAAAACAAACAGACGGATTGTCCGGTGACCCATCTCACCGAAATTATGACAATAAGCTACAGAATGACCACATCTTGCGTTTCCATCCGCGGCAACTATCAGCTGGAAGGGAATCTATTACCCATCAGCCCCTGCTCCTACACCACTACCAGCTTCCAGCCCTGTGGCCAGCCCCCACAGTACCACCGTTCACATTGGGAGGAGTGTAGCTGAGCCAGGCTTGCTGGCGGGGGGGCTGACTCGGGGATATGGGGGGGTTAGGGGCATGGACGCAGCACCCTCAGACTCCATCTGCTGCCATTTCTGTCGCTCAAACAGCAGCTTGTTTGACACGGCAGCTGGCAAGAGCGCCATCAGACAGATACGACAAGGAGGGTCGGGGGAGGCGGGGCGCAATGTAATGACTGTGGGGGGGGGAGGAAGAGAGAGAGAGAGAGAGAGAAAGATGCAGGCCGCACTCCCCCCGCTAATTGTCACTTCCCGTGCACAATCCCACAGGAAACTTCTCTCCAGGCCAGTCCACTTCCTCCTGAAGGGGGGGGAGGGGTGGAATGCAGAGGCAGTCAGCCCATCCTCAGCAGACAGGCTGCCCAGAAACAGCACCCAGGCGGGGTTGGAGAGACAGGGCAGAATGGGGTGGGGGGGGGGGGCAAACACACAAACCACACGCACAAGAACCAGCCACGGCAACACTAAGAGCAGACTGTTAAATACAGCACCAACAGCGCGCGTGATAAAACTCTCTGGATGGGCACCATGGAGAAAGGCGAACAGAAGGGGGCGCCAGACAGCCCAGCCCCCCATCCCTTCAGAGCCAGTAGATAGCGAGAGATCATCTTACTTACAGGGACCACTCCATCTCCACCCCAGCCAGCGTGGGGGACAAAAGTACATGGATGGGAAGGAGACCTCAGAAGTGGGGTGGGGACCAGAGTTCCTGCTCTATCTGTCACAGCTCTGGGTGTCTCCACAGATAGAGAGCCAGGCAGGGGTAGAAGGGGGGGGGGGTCCCAGAAACAGAGAAAGAGCAGAGAGAAACGGAGATGAATGGAGAAAGAGAGGAGAGGGAGTAGAGACAGAGGAGAGGGAGAGGCAGGACGGTGCATGTCAGAGATCCTTTCCCTGTCAAAAACAAACAGACGGCCCCGTGTGGGGGAGGGGGTGCGAGCGAGGGAAGCAGGTTCTGCAGGGTAGGACAGGCACGAGCAGCTGTGTGGTCTCACGTTTACCGGGGCGGGGCGGGGGGGTGAGGAATGCGGCTGGTACCAGGACATTCCCGTGACGAGCTGCCTGCAGGCCCCCATCCCGGAACGGCCGCCGAGCCCTCGCACCTCCCTCCCTCCAACAGAGTGCACCACGCTGCCAAAACATCACTGCCCCCCCCCCCAACCCCCACACACAGAAACTGCTTCCAGCTCTGTCACTTGATTCGTTTCTGATATTTTAAAACACATATTCAGTAAATACAGCTTCACTAAAAAAAAGAGGATGAGACTACTGGAACAGATAGTTGCTGTACCGCTTAGAATACAAAGATGAGGGGAGGGTGGCAAGACTGTTTGAGGCCATACATGACCACACTGTCAACCTGTTGTGGGACGGGCTGCTTGCCCCCCCCAACAAGATCTCACGCTTGGCTGTGAAGGTTGTGAAGGAGTCATGTGACTCCAGTTCTGCAGGATCGCACCCCCCACCTCTACATCTGACCTGACTCTGCCCCCCGCCACAGGCCATAACCCGCAGGGAGGCAGATAGCACCCGCCTCACCAAAGCTGTGACTTTCCCAGGACCGCCGGATGGAGGAACCCGTCTCTCAGCATAGCTGGTGAGCCTCGGCATCGCCACGCCGATGCCTGGCCACCATGGCAACGCCGCGCATCCGCCACAGGCCTCTGGGAGTCACGCCCTGTTCACGCCGCCCTCCTGGAGATCGAGGTCCTGCTTGCAAGAGATACTCACCCCACCCACTCCCACTAACGTTCCTGTCAGACGGGTGTAACATGTCAGAGCTCAGCTAAAGGCGCACAAACTCAAACCTCTAACTGCTCAACTGAAGGTCGCAGACTTTATCTCAGACGGCCTTCGCCATATGGGACAGTGTGTCGCTTGCAGATTAAAGATGGGGGGGAGGGGCTTGTCTCATTGTTCGCCGCCGCTGGACTGGTGAGAAATTCAACTGCCATTTTCAGGGAGGAAGGAGAGGCAGATACTGCAAACGAGAACCGGGGGTTTTAAAATGGGTGCTAAACACAAGTTTAACAAGACAATCACGAGGGATCAAGGGCCCTGTAGGGGGCGCTATGCCTGTGGCTGCTCACATCACAGCTGCTGACCTTCTCCAGAGCGGGAAACCCAAACAACATCCCGAATAGGGAGGGCAGTCAGGGTGAGGGCGCAGACGCTCCCGGCACACAGCCTCGCGTCAACACGCCTGAGAAAAAGTCACATGGGGCGGGGCCACCCAGCTGGGCCTGAAAGGACGAGCTGAATAATTCATGAGGAGCGACTGATGACTTCTTCGTACTTGCGTGACACGGCTGATCCACCTGACGTTTGTTTACCTTTAGGGAAAAATAGCAGATTAATGACTGAGGTTGACACATTTTCACATCTGCCCTGGCTGGCATACGGCCCCTGGCTGCCAGAGATCCGCACAGGCCATCTCCCTCCAGTCTGCCATCATCCCCCCCTCCCATCGTGCCATCTCCTGCACTGCACACCCACCCCTTCTCCACGAGCCTCATCCCCAACCTTCTGACATATTGCACAACACGGGTCCCGGATCTGCAAGGGGCCACCCACCCACCCGTGACGTTGGGCAACTATGAGCCGCACCGGGCCGCCGGCGGGGCCGTGACGGGACTTGTTTTCTTTGAGCCACATCCCGCAGGAGGAGTTTCACGAGTAACGGCGGGATGGCGTATTCCCATCAGAGTGCGGCGGGGCATCCACGTGGGGGGTCGGATTGCCTCAAGGGGACGCTGCGCTACACGTCAGGACCAAATACGGTTAAAGATCTGTGATGGCTGTTATGAGAGACACACGTACACACACAGCAGGACCCTAGATCCCACAAATACACCACACAGAACTGAAAATGGCAGACCATGCCATACCTACCAATCCTACAAACACACACATAGTTCATATGTTCCTGTCATTGTGGGAATTCTCCATTCATTTCTACAGGCATAGCCCCATTCCTAATTATGATAACCCTAACTCTTACCCAGCCCTAACCTTAACTATAAGAAACCAAACAAAATACAAGACTTTTGGTATTTTTTGTTTTTTGACTACAGTCAGCAAGGTTTATAAAACTGAGGTTTATATTGTGTGGACATGAAAAATGTCCCCATAAGCTAAAAAGTAACAGGTTCTACTACATTGTGGAGATGTTTGGTCCTTGTGGAGACTGAAAAAATGGTTCCCACAACATCAAAATAACAAATTTATATTACATTGTGGAGGACATCTCTCTCTCTTTCTCACACACACACACACATACACACACACACCACTCTCTGCAGAATTCAGTGAGAAGCCTTCCAGACCCATCTCTCCTTGCTAAGAGAAACGCACGCACTGGTGATCTGACCAATAAGCTGGCAGGACTGGGCCTCCAGAGTGAGCTGCCTTGAAAGGCTTGTCCCGTACACTGGGGCCTGGTGAGCGTGCATGCGGTGAGCACGGGACCTTTCATCAACCTCTGAAACAGCCAATCAGAGCACAGCTCACTGTGTCTGTACTTAAGCAGCAAATTATTACAGGAGCCGAGGGAGGCTTTCTTTTGGTTTTTCCCTCTCTGCCTGAGACTGGTGGGGGAGCTAATCAGGTTGTGGGGGGG